TGGAAACATCTACACCGTGAATCTAATCAAAATTCATTCACATAATATTTTTCTTCTGAGTAACGAGGATGGATCTTGGCTATGACATAAGAGAATAGTCAATATCCACATGGACCACTTAAACAAGTTGGTCCAAAAGGATATAGTCATTGGATTGCCAATCTTAATTTTTAAAAAACGTAGGTTTATGATGCGTTCCAAAAAGGTAAACATGTGAGAGCTTCTTATAAAGTTAAAAATGTTGTTTCTACAAACCGACCCTTACAACTTTTGTATGTGAATCTTTTGGCCCATTCGAAACAAAAGGTTTTTGCAGCAATCTCTATGCCTTTGTAGTTATGGATAACTACTCTCTATATATATGCACATTATTCTTATCTCAAAAAAGAGACGTGTTTTCTTCCTTTCGAAAACTTGACAGGGTTATCCATAACGAAAAATGATTAAGCATTGCATTGATTTGAAGTGATCATGGTGAATTCCATAATGGATAATTCAAAAGGTTTTTTAATGAGAATGTCATTTAGTATACCTTTTCCACTCCATGAACTCCCCAATAAAATGGGGTTATTGAGAGGACAAATAAATATTTAGAAGAGTCAGCAAGGACGATGCTCAATGAGACTAACCTTCCTAAATACTTTTGGATCGACACAGTAAGCATCACTTACTATGTAATGAACTGTGACTTGATAGAACAATTCTAAAACATGCGCCCTATGAGTTGTATAAAGGAATGAAGTTGGATATTTTCCACTTACATGTTTTTGAATGCAAATGGTTTGTCTTTAACAACGGAAAGGATAATCTTAAAAAAAATTCACGTAAAAGCTTATGATGGCATATTCCTAGAATATTTCATTTTTAGTAAATATTTTAGAGTTTTTATCAAAAATAATCTTAAGAATAAAAGAATTAATTCATGTTACCTTTGATGAGTCTAACCTCTTTTCTATAGAGGTAAAAGTTGTTGATTGTGCATGTATACTTGAGAAATCATCTCTTGAAGATAATGATCAAAATAAAGATCAAGATCAAAGTCAAGATAAAGATCAAAGCCAAAATGAAGATACTTAACTTGAAGAAGCAAATGTAAAACATTAAGATCTCCCCAATGAATAGAGGATTGCTAAAGACCAGCCAATTTAAAATGTCATTAGAGATAATTTTAAGGAGATTACAATTTGACACTCCCTTAATAAGGTATGTAACCATATGATTTTTATTTCCTAAATTGAGCCAAAAGAAGTTGATGAGGCCCTCATCAACGAACATTGGTCTCTTGATATACAATAATATTTAAATCAATTGGAGAGGATGTTTGGGAACTTGTTCCCAAACCTTCAACTAATCAAGAGGTTGGAACTCGTTGGATCTATTGCCATAAGCTTGATGAGATGGAAAAGTTTTTATAAATAAAGTGATACTTGTTGCGAAAGAATACAATTAACAGGAAGACATTGATTTTTATGAAACATATGCTCATGTAGTTCAATTAGAATCTATAGCGATGCTTCTAGCTTTTTCTTGCATCATGAATTTTTAACTCTTTCAAATTGATGTAAATAGTGTGTTATTGAACGGTTACATCCAAGAGAAAGTGTTTGTTGACTAGCCTATGGGTTTTATAAAATATTCTTTTTCAAATCATGTTTTCAAGCTAAAAAGATACTTTGTACAGAGTGAAACAAGCTCCTAAAGCTTGGTATAATCGTCTAAGCAAGTTCTGCTCGAAAATAACTTTCAAAGAGAAAAGGTTGATGAAACCCTTTTCATCAAGAAATCTGAGCATGACATCTTATTGGTTCAAATATATGTATATGACATTATTTTTTGTGCTACTAACGAATCATTGTGTAAGGAGTTTCTAAGATGATACAAAATGAGTTCGAGATGTCAATGATAGAGGAGACTCGATATTTCATCGAATTTCAAATTCATCAATCCAAATAAGGCATGTTTATTAATCACGCAAAGTACTACAAAGAATTACACAAGAAATTTGGTATGAACAAAGCAAGTTATTTTCACTCTGATGAGTACTTCGTGCAACTTGGATAAAAGTGTGGGAGGAAAGTCAGTCAAAGAAAATAGATAACAAGGTATGATCGATTCTCTCCTTTATGTTATCGCATCTTGTCATGATATTATGTTTGTTGTGTGTCTATGAGTCCGCTTTCAAACAAAATCCAAAGAATCACATCTCGTTGCGGTAAAACACATTAATAAATATCTCACTAGCACACCACTAATGAGTTTATGATACCCAAAAGGACGGATTATGTCTTAGTTGGGTACTCTGACTTTGATTTTTCTATGTAAAAATTAGATGCGAAAAGTATCAGTGGTACGCACCACTTACTTGGTAACTCGCTTGTCTCCTGGCATAGGCATAGCAAGAAACAAGCAAGTGTAGTGGTATCCGGAATTGAGACTGAATATGTTGATGCAGGTAGGTGTTATGAACAAATTATATGGATGAAACATCAGTTAAGTGATTACATAGTTGATCTCGTAGTGGTCCCAATAAAATGCGACAACACTAGTATCACAAACCTCACAAAAAATTAAGTACTTCATTCTCATACTGAACACATGAAATTTAGGCACCATTTCAATAGAGATCATGTCAGAAAAAGGAAATCGCGTAATTGAGCATGTGTTTTTATTTAGGACCCGTTTGTTTTAACTTTTTTAAAAAATAATTTTTATAGTGTAACATATTTTAGTGTAAAAAAATTTTAAAAATAAACTTTTCATAAAAGTTTCAAATGAAAATTTGGTTTGAATAATTATTCTTAAAATGTTATTTTAGGTATTTTATCATTTTATCGAGATTTTTTAGATATCAAAATTTCAAAAAATCACTTAAAGCTATTTCAAATAGTTTTTCATAAAAATCATTTTTGAAATACAACTTTTTGAAAAAACCGTAATTTTGACTAGAGATTAATTACTATGCACTGATAATGTAAAAAAGTTTTACACGGTCAATTCATCACCATCATTCGTTTGTACTACTTTATAAATTGTTAAAATAAAAGTCAAACTTTTTTCTTCATCTAACGTCTGTAATTAACTGACAGCGTAAGTGCATTTTAATTAAATTCTTTTGACTATGTTTTGTTCTTTAATAATGTATGTTTATGTTACAGTAAGTCAAAATTAGTCTTTTAATTTATAAAAGACAAATTTAAAAAAATTTGTAATATTTTAAAATATATTTTTGTAGAATCTATTTTTAAAAATACCAAGAAAAAAATTATTTTGTAAAGGTAAAACAAAGGGACTCTTAATCAAGTGATTGATATTTTAACAAAAAAAAAAAAACCTTTAAATTTTGTCCCTAAGTCTTAAAATGAAAAAGTATACAAAGGATTGGTGAGAGTCTCTAAAATTTATACAGAAGAAAGAACATGCTTAATCTTCATCTTCTTTAACACAACACGTTTCATGACAAATTGAATATCAAGCACTATATATTTAATTTTGGCATGAAGAATTGGATTGTGAGAGACCAAGACATCACTTAAGTTATCATAAAAGAATTGTGGGAGACATAAGGGAAATATGTAGTTCATTGAGTAAGGACTCAAGCCAGAGATACTCAAATGTTGTATGTGCTAAGCCATGATATTCAACTTCAAAGATTAGATCGTGGTATTAAAGTTTGTTTGTAAGAGTTTTAAGACTAAATTCAAACCACAATAAAAGAATTTTGAGACTAAACTCAAACCAAAATAAAAACATGACCCTAACGTGGATCATCTATCATCAAGATCACTGATTTAATTTAATAAGCTTTGTTTATGAAGAAAAAAAAAAACAATGTTCCATATTGAAGTTACATACTGTAGAGCACTTACAGTAGATCTGTAAAGTTCAGGGTCATGAAACAAATCAAGACCATTTTTAAACACATCAAGATCATGTTTACTTGACTTTAAGTGGCTAAGCATAAGAGGAGAAACAACATATGTACTCTTGATAATAAATCTATAATGTAATTAAATTAAATAACATAGAACTATTTAATTGATGATTAACTTCAATTCTCATAAAGTATATTGGTTTACCAAGCTTTTTCAAAGAAAATTTATCATGAAGTTTGGTTATGGGATCATGAACCAATTTAAAAGATGAACTAATTATGAGAACATCATTAACATATACTAAGACATAGAGATTCAAAAACAACTCCCCGACATCATTCCAAAAATTTAACACATCTACAAATAAGAAATCTAGAAGTTCTTGTCGTTCCAAATATAATAAAGCATATTCAAATTAGATAAGTGTTGTTTCCTATCTTGATATTCAATTGTGCCAACACATCACACTACAATCCCACCTATCCCCGCAGTAGAACATGACCTTGAACCACATCAATTCAAAGCATCACACTACAATCTCAACCACATTATATGCAAACATTGTAACATACTTTGGCATGTATATACAAATACAACTAGGATTGTTTACATTGCCAACACCCAGACATGAAGTTCGCATTGGCAACTCAGTCGATTGATATCAATACAATAGAACCAAGGTATCAATATTTGGCATTGCAAATAACATACTAATCAAACATCACATGTTAGATAATAAAATTATTAAAATGGCTAAATATTTCATTACATTTTCTACTACAATTCTCAACTATCTGCTACCTCAAAATTATCCACCATACATGATATCGGATAACACAAAAATGTACTTCAAGTGAGGCTTCATAATACATTCATGCGTTAACTTTGTTAAAATGCTAGCAACACTCACTCTAAGATTCTCTTTTCAATATTCTTTCTTTTATTAGATGAAATTTATGTAAGTTAACCGCTATAGGTGGAACCCATTTCCAAAATAGGACCTACATGAATTTTAAACTAACAAGAGAACGAGTGTTGCTAGCCTTCCTTCCCTCTTTCCAAGACCCAGTTGGAAAGTAACAAGTCCAAATGGAGTGCTTTTTAGGCCTTGACTATAGAGAGTTCGACTTAAAGCCTGAAAGTACTGTAGTCTCCTAAACCAGATGCTCCATAACTTGAGTATGACTTTGAGGACAAAGAAGAAGGTGGTATGCGTGACGAATTGCCCAACTGAGAGTAAGAAGACTGAGAATATGACCTTGGACCCACATCCATTCTGCTCGCATCCAACCTCCCGTAGCTGTTGGTGACAGGTTCTCTGCGACTGCTTATAACTTCCTGCAATACATAAATTTCCCGAGGCAAAAGCCAAAATTAATCAATTGTTTCAATAAAAATTATACCATAATGGGAAGTAGCCAAATCAAGTGTTAACTGTCACGTGTCTGAAAATTTTACATTTTACACTCAAAATTAGCCCTCTCCCATCTGCCAATGCTAAAAATAAACACCCAAAGGACTGTCCTATTGCATTTATACAAAGAGCGAACAGGACTCTTGAAATCATATTTCATTTCTTAGATGAACACATGATGGATTGCATACCTTCTGTTACCACCCTTATAGCGTACCATTATTTGAAATTTGAGTAAACTAACACGGAAGTTAGTCCCTCAAAACTAACTCTTTAGATATCTAAAATTTCACTACATAAATTTTCGAAAAGTTCTGTCACCAAATTAAACCCTCAAAATTATGGATCAATTTGCCAACAATATTTTTTGTCTTTGAGGAATTTGATTTGATGGAAAATTGTTTTGAAGGACTAAAATTTTTCACTTTGAAGGAACAACTTTAGTTCACTCATTAACAATTTAAGTGGTAAAGGTTTGTATTCAAGAGGATGAGAATAAAGAAATCAAGTAATAGTTAATGCAAATAAAGCATTCTAGGCCTAGCAAATGATGCATCAGTTAGCCACAAAATGAGAGACTGGGAAAGATATTCCCATGCATTAATATTAATTATAACTTCACCCATTTTAAAAAGTGATAACTTTGTCCAAGTATGCAATATACATATGTAAAACAAATAATTACACAGATGAAATGGCCATCTGGAGTCTCCTACCTGAATCAATTGCTGAGCCGTTTGAACCTGAGATGAGGTTCCTTTTATTTCCACAACAATTTCATCAGGCACCCTGCTTTCCTGCACAGTCAATATGGCTCCACTAGTGCGACGAATATAATCTATATTAGTCCCTTGAATGCCAATGATGTCCTCCGCATAGGATAATGGTATTTGCATTGTTTGTATTACCTAATAAATGAAACATTTAGGGAAGAGAACAGTACAGTACAATGAATATCAACAAAAGATACAACAAAATAATACTTAACGCAGTATGAAAAAACATATTTGAATGCTTTTAGCTCATTGCATAAGTTGACAAGATACAGTATAGGCAATGTCAATTTGAAAATACATGGATAATAACTTGGCCTTGAGCCAGATCATCATGTGAATAAGAGTCCCAGTCAGAACAGGTAGAAAAAACCCACAAATTCATTTCATTCAGAGTCCCAAATTCAGACAAGTAAATTGTTTAAAATAATGTTTCATAACAACCTAGAAGACAATTACAATTGTCAAAAACCAATTGTCCCAAAAAATCAACTGTTGGGTGAAAACTGGTACATAGTATCACATCTAACACGCCCTTCTTTCGTAAGAAACATTCCAGCCCACCTATTTGGGCTTAAATCAAATTGTATCCCAAAATATTAAGTCTTAGCTCGCAAATGCTATTATATCTAAACTCATATATAGGTTTTTTTTTCCGCAATAACTGGTCAAAGAGGTAATAAATGATATGTCCCTCATTTTAAAGGAAATTTCATGTAAAGCATTACATAGAAAACATGCATGTGATTAAAATAACTTACCGTCGTAACGATAGGAGCCCCAACACGACTAAGACTTGAAGAACGGACACCAGAAAGAGAAGAATCTTGCCCATAGAGAGACATAGATGAGGATGAGAGTAGTGAGTCCAAATGACTTTCACGATCAGCGAAGACAGAATCCCTTTTTGATGGAAGCGGAATATCAGAAAACATGCTAGTTTGTGAAATGGTATGCTGTGACGGCTTGTCAGACCAGGTCTCTGCTTGACGGTCTTGTGGGATAGATGCATTGTACTAAAACAACATAGAGAAAACATGTATAATAGTGTAAATATAAAGCAAAAATCAGAAGATAACCTAATTTTCTTTTTCTCAGGTGATATTCATCTCATAAACAAAACAAAGTGGTCCTACACAAAAATGTAGTGTTTGGTAGATAGATTGGGTTAGAACAACATACGATTTATGTTCTACGCCTACCAAAATATAGAAGCCAAAACATATAGTTCAAAGGGAAGCAGATGCATGAACATCATCGTCATCGCCGCCTATAGGAGGCTAAAGTTCTAGAGAAGCATAGGGACAAGGTGAAGACTAAGGGGAAAGCAAAACCCACATGATTGTAATATAAATTTTCCCCATTGTTCCTTGAAAGTGTTAATTGAAAGTTTTTGGTGAATAATGTGCTTCCTCTGATTCATAATGCTGGAAGGGATACGATAGAATTTTATGCATCTTTGTTGTTTTATCATGAGTTATTTTGATTTGTTATCTACCACAACTTTGAAGGTTTATAAGTCTTGATTTTGAGTAAAAGAAAAAGAACAAGTATTATAGTCTTGCAGAGAAGCTACTCAATCTCAACGCATATCCTAAAATGACACTCCCTTGAAAGATGGGTCAAAGAACATCAATGAGAGTTAGTTAACATTATCCTATGAGGGATAAGGAGACAGCCTAAAATATATTTTTTAGCTAACTCGATATTAGGAAAATTAATAATGATCTTACAGTTTTCTCAAATAAGGGGAGAACGCTGTGATCAACCAAAAACTTCCTCAGATGGCCAATCACGGCTTCCAGAGCTTTAAGAACCTTCAAGGCTTCTCCCTGCAGGTCTACAATCCTCTCTTCCGCAGTAGCAAAATATTGCACCTCATCTTCATGAAAATAATTTGGCATTGGCATTAAATTAATGTATTCAAGATTAAGCTGCTGGCATACTATTAGTATCTATTGCCTCAGCCTTAGATAAATGATGTTTATTGTTATTAGTTGTGCATAATTAATAATTTACTGATAGCAGTGTCTTTTCGCCATGATTCTTGAGTAGTGATAATTATATATGTTCCTTAATTTAGCATGTTAAATTTTTATTCGAGAGAAATTGTGTTGTATCTACTATTTCAGTGCAGCTAGCACTTAAAATCTTTTACACAGCTATAGCATTTTTGCGGTCATCAACCTACATGTATCCATGAATAATTACTATGTTTCGCATATGATTAATCAATTTAAGAGAATCCACAAAAATCAATAATTGCCACTAATAATTACATTACAGGAACCATAATATATGTATAATTGGATAACAGGACAGGAAGCATACCTGCTGACAGTACTCTAACAGCGGCACCAGAACTCTCCTGTATGGATCTGATTAGTGACCCTTGTTTTCCAATCAAACTGATAGCCTGTGTAGAAGCCACCAATAATTGAATGGAACAAAATGTAACCCCAGCAGATCCTTTAATTGCACTGTCAATTTCAGATAATCCAGAGACGCGTTTGAATATCCTTATTGCAGCATCCATTGCAGGGGATATAGCTGCTTCTAGCTCTTCCTTCCCTGATATAAGTATCTGAAAAAAAAAAGACCACATTAAGCATAAAAAGGAGACAGATAGACATATGTTCGAATGAAAGAATTTGGAAAATATTATAGTGGGATAGCTATCATCTTATACTTCTATCCAAAAAAATAATTAAACTAGAAATATTTATTCAATAAATGAAAATTTTACCCTCTACCCAAACATAACCTACCTAAGGGTCCTAGTCCAAAAGAGCAAGTGTGCCCCAGTGAATACCTTTACTACATAAACAGTAGCACATCAAGCAACCGACCTATAGGGCCAATCAGCTTACATTCTATTAAGGCTCTTTCTAATGTGCACAAGTAATTTAAGTGGTGCATCGTGCAATAACAATTTTAACTATTAGATCATAAATTTCCGCCAAATACAATTGTGCACCCTCCACACAAAATCTACCTCCTCTTCTTCTCCTTCCCCACCCTTTCTCTACCCTTCTTAGGATCAGAGGTGGTATCAGAGATTATAACAACAACAAATAAGGGGAACAATTCAAATAAAGAAAGACCAACTTTTCAAGTTTCAATTGAACCAACATGTGATCAATAAGAAGAACACACAATGGGCATAGATCAAATAATTTAAGCACAAGACAACGAGAAATTCTTGATACTCTTTCAATCCAGTTGTGGAGTTCAAAAACTACTCCAAAACCCCTTAAAACCACATGCACTCAACATCATAACTGGAAGTTGGAGACAACAATATCATTAACTACAACATGACTTTTAAGAAAGCAAATCAGGTTTTAGAAACTACTAACAATTGTTTGATCAAACATAAGCAACCATTCAAATTTCATAAACAATATGTTAAACAAAATAAAACAGCAAAGAAAACCACTCAAACACGACAAAGGAAACCTAAGAAGCATAGACACCCCAAACACGACTTCGACACTGACACGGTGACACTAGTAATAATTTGAAAAAATGAATAAATTTAGTGTAATCACAAGTGTCGGTGCCGGTGTCCGACACGAAAACGCCTTTTTTCAGAGGTGTATGTGCTATATAGAAGGAAACTATCCCTGTGGAGGTAAGTGGTGATCCCGCTTCCTTGCAGATCCAGCGGAGAGGGTAATGAAAGGGAAATACAGAGAGGGAGAAGAAATACTGTGGGGTTGTGCTGTTACAATTTATGGAACTTTATATTGATGCATGGTGCACCACCCATGCGACTTATGCACAATAGAAATGGAATGACCCTATTTTAAACCCTTCTAAGGAAACAAAACAATTTTCTAAGCATACAACACATAGCAGGGGACTATCACGATTTACAATGAAAAAAAACACAAAACCTAAACACGGTTTCAGTTGTAAGTTGTAACACAAACATTTATCCTAAGTTAGGCGTAAATTAAAGATGAAACTACATTAGTAATGGAAAATAAAAACCAAGCTAAATTTGTCAAATTAAAAACACATTAAATAAAATTGAAAATATAAAAAAAGAAAACCCTAGGTGAAATTGGATGAATTCCAAACAAAATTGAGACTTACAACTCTATCAGGAGTACCAAGATCGGCGTCCAGAACACGAACACGAGCTTTAGTTTCTTCACACAGCTTCTTGATGAGTTCTCCTTTACGTCCAATGATGCTGCCAACCTTACCAACAGGAACTATGAGACGGAACACGCAGTCCCCCGGCCAACCTGACCATCTCTTCTCCGGCGGAGTGACGGTGGGTTCTGTTCCGGTTTCGGTTACCGTTTCCAGCTCTTGGGCCGATTCGTTGATGATTGAGGATGAGTTAATAACGGCAGTTGCGTCGGCGTCGGCGTCGGTGGTGAGTGGTTGTGCGGCGGAGGAATTGTCCGGTCGGAGTGGGTTTGTGGCGGTGGCGGTGCCGTTTTGATGTGGTGCGATGGTGGCCATAGGGGTAAACGTGGGGTGTTTACGCGGATTGGGATGAAAAGGAAGTAACTGAAGTGATGTAGCGGCTTCAGTACTATCGCTTTGTTTTGGAAACTTTTTTTAGGGAATCGTTGGTTTTGGAAACTTGGTGCACGTGTTCGTTCACAGCGTGATTATATACTAGATCTCTTACTTTTACAATGGGAGTAAACTAAATAATTTATATAGTTGTATTTACTTTAATGATTCTTGTTTATAAGAAATTAAAATTTAACCCCATTATTTTTAAATATTACGTCATTATTTTAATATTGTTAAAATATTTTATTAATTAAATAAATAATATTATAATATATTTTATATAGTTAACGTTAATTATATAGAGAATGGGAACTAAATTTTAATTTACTTATATGTCATGTCAACTCTACTATAATGCAAATTCTTTATTATTAATCTAAGCTCTACAAAATTTTGGTTTAACAACCCTCTACTAAAGTTGCTCTTAGTCAATTTATTTTTATTTTTTAGTTTTATTATTTGTACACTTTTAAATATGTTAATTTTTTAATAAATTTAAAAATAATTTTTTAATATAAGAATTAGAGATAAATTTTTAAATATAATTATCAAATGTCTTAACTTAATTTAATTTTTTTAATTTAATTTTTTAATTAAAAATATTACATATTAGTTGCTTAACTTCAACTCTATCACCCTATTTCATCGTAATTTTAAAAAAAAAAAATGTTAAATTCTAGTCAGTTTATTTTTATCTTTTAGTTTTATTATTTGTACACTTTTAAATATGTTAATTTTTTAATGAATTTAAAAATAATTTTTTAATATAAGAATTAGAGATAAATTTTTAAATATAATTATCAAATGTCTTAACTTAATTTAATTTTTTAATTAAAAATATTACATATTAGTTGCTTAACTTCAACTCTATCACCCTATTTCATCGTAATTTTTTAAAAAAAATGTTAAATTCTAGCAACGTGACATAATAATAATGTTAATCTATCTAGTTAAAAATTAATACATTATTTAAATAGTAGAGTTTAGTTTTTGAAGTTTTTTAATATGAGAAAATAATTTTTTTACAATTTAAATAGTATATTAGTTTTTAAATATATATTAATTCAGATTTATATGAACCGCCGTGCTCTTACACCACATTATCAAAACTTAACATTTATTTTTGTTAAAACTTAAAAAAAAAAAAAAAAAACTAAATATCACTACAACATTTTTATTCTATAGCAACGCCTAATTTTCAGGAAGTAAAAAAATTGCTCTCGTAGAGAGTAATAGGCAACTAATTATATAATTTATTGCGGTAGCTTATGTAATTTTTTGTAAGTTTTATACAACTGTACAAATCCGTTCTCGTAGAGGACAATGAGAACGACTCCTATTAGCAACGGTTAGGAGCCGTTCTTATATAATTTTTAATTATTTTAATAAAATATTATTTACTTGTCTCTAGCGGGAAAGAGGTTTCAGACTTTTCATTGTCCCTCCCAAACCTCTGTAAAATTTTCAATCTTCCCTCTCAAATTGATTCTAACGCACAGAGAGAGAAGAAATTGATTTTGTAACCCTAACATCTTCCCTCCCAAATTGATTCTAACGCACAGAGAGAGAAGAAATTGATTTTGTAACCCTAACATTCACCGTACGAACTTCTCCCAACTTGTGTGTGTGTGTAAATGTTCTTCTTCATCGTACGAGCTTCTCCCAACTTGTGTGTGTAAATGTTCTTCTTCATCGTACGAGCTTCTCATTCAACTTGTGTGAGTGCAAATGTTCTCCTTCAACTTTCTCTATTCTCTACCAACAAATCTAACGATTTTGTTTTCATAGGTCTCAATTTTCAAACGTAATAGTGTGCGAGTTTTCAGCGGTGTGCGAGTTTTCGGCGGTGTGTGAGTTTTCGGTTCATCCTGGTAAAAAGGTAATAATTTGATTATAATTTGTAGCCCTGTGTTATTTTGGTGGGTCATTGAGTTAGAGATATCTTTGTGATTTCTTTGCGTGATATTTTTGGTAAATGTTTGTAAACTTAAGTCTCTGATTTTGATAAAGATGAAGATGAAGTGAGAGAGTTCTTGGATTCTAGCATTATTAATGGTGGTGAGGTTTTGCTTGTCATGAATCAGAAACAACAGTCTTGAAATTTTTCGGTAAATGTTTGTAAACTTAAGTCTCTGATTTTGAATTTTATGCTTGTGTCATGTATAGTACAAGATTGATAGCGTTTCAATGGAGAATGCTGATTACTAATTCTAATGAATTTTCAATGTATGGTTGCTTCTGGAAGATTGTCATTGTAAGTAGTATGTGTTTGTATCGAATGTAATGAACTTATTGAATGCATGATCCATTGTGTGTATTGGATTTGTAATGCAACTTTGAAAGTCATTTAAACTGTAGAGATTGAATTGAATTCTGAAGTTTTGCACTGTGTATTGGATTTGTAATGCAACTGTGATACTGTAGTTTTGAGGCTGTAGAAACCATCTGTGGTATTTTTCAGCATGTGTATGTATGGATTCTAAGTGTTGGATATGTCATTTTGTTCTTCATCCCATATGTAACCCTAATCCTTTCTTCATCGTACGAGCTTCTCTCAAACCCAACCCTATCTTCTATCTCGTTGTTCAGCCCCGCCCCTTCAAATTCTATGTCAGGCCGGTAGACTGCATAAACTTTATAGAAGTTGGGAAGATAGTCCCGATATTGGTTTTGTCATGGTAAAGGTAATACTCTATTGTCTTTTCTTCCTACATTTTTCTACATACATCTCATGCTAACTGTGATATAGTCCGTTTATGTATATAAGGATGTCAAACTTATATGGCATTTTGAATTTTCTTAAGGGCAGTGGCAGGGCATTTGCAGCTGGTGGAGATATTCTCGCGCTTTACCATTTATTAAAAGAAGGTAAGTTATATCAACTGTTTTCATTTTTTAGTCTTGTATGGCGGAGTTTCACTGCCTTGAATCTTATTACATGTGCTGGCGTTTAAGACCCAGCTCCCTCTAGTTGCGGTATTTGTATTTTCGATGCAAAAATAAAGAATGCTTAAGAGAAACTGTATGTTGCATCCCATAGATTAAGTTTCAGATATTTCTAACAATTTGGTTTTAGGCACTTTCTCCTTGTATTTTAAATGTGTTATTTGCTGTTACATAATTTGAATTTTTTTCCATAGTTCTTTTAACTTTTCCCTTTCTATATATGCAGGGAACATGGAAGCATGCAAAGAATTTTTTAGAACAATATATGGCTTTATATACCTTCTAGGTACATATTTGAAGCCACATGTGAGTACTTTATATGGAGGCTGGTCAATTATTTATTCTACTTGTTGATTTGTTGTGAGTGATATGTTTGTTCAAGTAGCTCTTCTGAATGGCATTACCATGGGTGGCGGGGCAGGAATTGCAATCCCTGGGACATTCCGAGTTGCAACAGACAAAATTATATGTAGTATAGAAACTTCCTTATGTATATGTTAGAAACTGATGTAGGACTTGGGATTATTTACTCTATTACTGAGCAAATGTTGATATTAGTAGTTTATCTATTGATAATTCTACAGTGCATATCAAAGTAGGGACTTCAGATTCAGATTATTTACTCTATTATTGAGTAAATGTTGATATTGATAGTTTATCCCATGATAATTTTTGAAACTGCATTGTACAGATCATTGTACAGATCTTGTATGCCAGTACCTGTATCGGGTACTGGATACGTACCCGTACCTTTGCAACGTAGGTTGCAATATTCACCGATCATAGTTATGTATATTTAGGATTGGATTTTCCCCCTTAAATAATTGTTTGATTATTTCATTGCCTATTTTTAAAATCTGAGTTTAATGTGAGTAATTTTCCAAATGGTTATAACTTATGACTATTGAACATATAATGAAGGAAAATTCATTAGCCTAGAACAAAAGTATAGTGCAAGATAAAATATTCCTTCTGGAGTTTAAAAGAATGTGTAACAAGATGGAAGGATTAGCAATTGGGTGGAATGAAAGGAACGAGCTTGTTCGAGTTAGACATGGCTCTAATTTTGGGGTTGATGTTTCTCATTAAAAATAAAATATTTTTAATACTTTAGTTCATAGTATGTTCAATGATGACTTGTTTTTCTTTTCTGGGTCATGGAATTTCGTTAGAAAATTGAATTTTTATGTTTGCAATGAAAATGTGTAATGGAGTTTTTCAAGTTTTAGTCCTTTTTGTAAATTACTCGGTATTCAAAAGTAGCATTTTTTTTTGTAGGGTCTATGATTTAGTTGGTTATTAGTTGTTTGATTGTTGATGCATATACTGATGTTTTCCTATTGATTGTTTGAAAATATGTAAGATGGGAATTTTGTGCTTTTTGTAGTTTAAATTTGTGATTTGCAATTAATGTGTGGATTTGAATCTATAAGTAGTAAGTGAGACAAAAAAAATCATCTGATTCAAAGATTATAATATCATTTTGTTCGGTGGAAACATTTGTGCTAGGCCATTGACTTAGAACTTTAATTTAGTTTGCAGTTTAAAAAATGATTAATAAATGTAGTTTATTCTCAAATCCTGATACATTTAAATGCTAATTTTGGAAGACATCTTGGTTATGGTTATGTTGATATTTAACTTCTTTGTCATTGAAATTTTAGATGTGAGAAATCGATGTGATATTAACCTGTATTATAATTCCTATGTTCTGCACTCTAAACCTGTAAAGAATCTGAATGGTCAATTTTGTCAAATATGTGGCAATATTTTTATAAATCATGTTATTATTGAAATTTTTATAGTGTTGCAGTCCTTGAATAATTACAAAAAAAAATGTTTTAGTATTTCCCCTCTGTCTTTTCAGCATGTTAGTATGTGATTCCATCAAAACTTTAGGGTTGTTAACTATTAGTTAATATTTGTTAGTTAAAAAAATTTGACAGTTAGAGGTTTGAATAACAGTTAGTTATTGGTTAATTATTAGTAGATGT